GCCAGCTAGAGGCCTGGGGCCCAGAGCCAGGAAGAAAGGACACGGCCCCAGCACCACCCCTCCACCTCGTCTGCCGCCTCCTGGGCCCAGCAAATCTGGCAGCATCCTCTCCGGCCCCAAGAAATGACACTCGCTTCTAGTCTAAAGGCTCCTTTCAGAAAAAGAGGCGGTCACTTAGGATCGAGACACCTGACTTCAGGTCCCCACCTGGCCAGGTAAAGCAGGGACGACAGCGTTCCTGTGACCAAGCTTCCCATGGGGAGCGTGGCCATGGGTGCTGGGGTGCTCTTTACACTTACCTGTCAGGGAGTGCACACTTCACTCGAGTGCAAGACACATGCACACAACACACACGCACACTTTAGACTGTCTGGATTTAAACTGACACTCACCAAAACTTTTCCTCTTGAGGATCCCGTCTGGCAGTGGAACACCCTAACAGATGCTGCAGAGCAACAGCCCAAGCCGACAGCAAAGGTCAGCTCCAGGGTCAGAGGAGAAAGGAGGCAGCAAGGCCCTGTCCTTCCCAGAGTGACACGAAGACAGATGGGCTCCGTCATCCCCACAGCACAGAAACAGACCAGTCCTGCCAAGTCTGCTCATCATCACACGCAACACTTAGCTGAGGATCACCGAAGACCAGTGTGCAACCAAAAATAAACCCCCAAGACCCGAGTTTACTGGGAAAGGAAACCCAACCTGCATGGCTACGAATGACAAGTAGGGAGGACAACTGAAAGACCCGGGTTCTTCCTTACAATCCCACTTGTGCAACGAACAGAATTTACAGAATAAAACAAGTATATTCTGGAATTATTATTGTTTTTTTAATTTCTCCAACCAAGGACCGCAATAGGCCAGCCCAGCTGACTTCGACAGTGCACCATGCATGGGCTGGGTCCCGGTCAGGGCATTTCGACACTGCTGCCTACAAAGCACGTTCAGCACAAGAAGAAAACGCTGCACAGGGCACCTGGAGGCACAATCAGTGAAGCATCTGACTCTTGGTTTCAGCTCAGGTCATGATCTTGGGGTCACGAGACTGAGCCCCAGGTTGGGCTCTCTGCTCAGGGCTTGGATACTCTCTCTCCCTCTGCCCCTTCCCCACTCATGCTCACTCGCTCCCTTTCTCTGATAAATAAATTAAAAATCTTGGGGCGGGGGGAGAAAAAGCTGCAACTATAGTTGTAGGATCCAGCACCAAGAACAGACCACCATACTCCACCGTACCAGGAGCCAGGAAGACAACTCTCGTAAGAACGAAAGTTAACTGGTTTGTCACCTGCTGGAGATCCACAGTGTGGGGCAGGTGCCCTGTCACCTGGGGCACCTGCCCCAATTTGGGGCCACCCACCTGCTCGTTCACACAGTCACTGCCACTCAGCTCACGGGCTGGCCAGGAAGACTGGTGACATTGCCTTCCACTGGAACCTACGAGGCCCGGGCACCACCATCCCCATGCTGAGGTGACACACGTACACACCCTGGGAAGGGGACTTGCAACCGAAATACGGGTCCCCATTGTCATTGCTTAATGTACCCTAAAATGTGGCCGAAGAGCTAGAGCGTATACAGCAGGCTGCTGGGTCCCGGAGCAGGCAATAGGAAGCTCTCCCAAGACAGGATCCAAGTCCTTGTGGGACAGTCTCCTGAAGCACCCAACATCTGCCAAGCACATCTGGCTGGCCAGCTTTCAGAAACTGTGCAGTCTACTGACGCATTACAAAATAATTGTTTCAACTAAACAGAACGTCCATTTTTAGAAAGCCACTACTCGTCAGTATGCCACAAAATCATGTCAATCCTAAAAGACCTAGGAAGGTCAGGGTGCTCAAGATGGGGAGATTCAGCAAATCAGGGCAGCCGCTGGGTGCTGAGGCATGCTCTGGGGTCCCCTTGATGGGGCCCGGCTCCCCCAGAGATGGCAAGAGCTCAACAGCTCACCCCCTCTCATATCTGCCAAGATCACATGGCAGGTCATTCCTCATCACGGTGTATACTTCATCTCCCTAAGAGAGGACTCCAGAACTCTCCGAATCTGCCAACCGGGCCTTCTGCACAGTGGCCAGCCAGCAGGGAAGGGACGAGCTCTCCCATCTCCATGCTGTGTTAGGGACCCCAGCAAAAATTCCCAGAAGCATCGGGATCAGTATTCCCCTGGAGGCCCCTGCACACTCAGTCCATCCTCTGAGCCCAGCCACCTCTGCCCGATTTGTCCTCCTGCCAGGAGGCTGTGGAACAAAGGGTACCATGTCTTCCTTCTGTGTCCAGAGGCCCTGTGACTCACTTAGGGTCCTCCAACACCACTGACCTGCAAGGCCAGATGGAGGGAGGGCCAGGCTCAGTTTAGAGACCGGTGCAAAGGGCTGGGGGGGACAGAAGCTGCAATGGCCCGACACCTACCAGCTCTGCGTGGTACACAGCCCAGCAGCCACAGCAAAGACAAACAGCCCCTGTGTTAATGGGTGGCTTTAGGACCACAGACCGGGCAAAGCTGTGGCAAAACCCATTGCTTCCACCTGTCAGGACAACAAAACAGCTCACGGCCAAGTATGCTAAAGCTGAAAGTGTCGCCAGACACTTCCCAAGTTTTCACAATGCCCATTTCTCTCCCCAGCAGGTCAACTGGGCCACTAGAGACATTTGGTCCCTACTCGATTTCAGGGGGCTCCCAACTGAAGCAGGTGTACCCAGGGCATCCCAGGGCCACGAGGAAGCTCCGTTTTGGGTCAAGAAAGGTGCTGATGGTAACACCTAGTTCTTAAAGGCCTCTTCCCTGGGGAGCCCTGCGGTGTCACCCGAGTGCCGCACACACAAGGTGAGCCTCTCCTTGGATCCCAGCTCCGGGAGGGGGGAGGGTCGGCACCCTCCTCTCCTCCGGACAGTCAGTGTCTGTGGAGGTGTGCATGCAGCCGACACACCCGCGGCTTTCCAAAGCTACCGTCAGTACACAGCATATGCATTTATGCTCTGCGGTAAAATACTCGTGTTTATTATCCCAGATTATCCAAAACTGGTATTAGTCTCATGTAGCACATTAAATACTCAAACCCCAACCAGGAAACATGCTAAGTTGTATAGAAGTTGAGACTCTTAACCTATAAAGTAAAACATTCCAAAGAGATGTCAGTACCAGGGTTTTAAGCCTTAATACATATAACCTACCACAAAGAAAATCTGGGAGGTGACACCCTCAGATCTGCACTTCTAGGACAACCTATTTCTCGATCACCAGAGCTTCTGAATCCCATATTTGTCACCATAACCATGAGGTGGTCTAGAAACTGGACAACGGCACTCCATTTCTAACTGTAACCACCCCACTTACAGTTACGACTGCATTTGTAATGACCTCAACTGTGGTGCCAAACCCAAGTCCTTCCATATGCTGAAGGGACAAAAAAAATAAATGTCTGGTAAAGTGAATTGCCACTGGACTCCCTGAGGTCTGGCCACAAAGCCAGTCTTCATTTCTTAAACTTGCCAAGCCCCTGTCTCCCCGAGTGCCCTGTGCTCACTCTCCACACTGTCCCCCAGAGGCCCCCCCCCCCCCCCCGCACAAGGAGGGTGTCCCCCTCGGAGGGTCTGCGGCCACACTGCTCCCTCCTGTCACAGGAAGTGGCTCTAGCTGGTCGGGTCACTCCCCTGCCTCCACCGCCAGAGAGAGGCCACATGGGCAGAGACGTGGCATCCTGTCCACCCTCGGGCCCCTGGCATACCTTCCTGGGTACGGAACGGGAGAGCAGAAACGCAGGGATGACGAGTACGGACAGGAGTGCCCCACATCGCTCATGCTCCACCATCCCCAACTCTCCCGAAGAGCTCCCAGCCGTGCCCCAGTCTCGTGGAACCGTCTCAGGGCATCTTTAAAGATGCACGATAAAGCACGGGATTACAAACAGAAAAACGTGTGGCAGGATGGTAACCTCAGGACGGGGAGAAGAAATGAATGTGCTGAGAAGATGCAGGGGTGCGTCCCGTGACCACGGCGATCTGAAATAATCACAAGCACACCCGCCACGGCCGAGGTCGCTCTCCGGTGATGGTGCCATTCATAATCGAAGGAAACGCGGCGAGTTTCAGATCCCTGCGCTTCACTAACGGATCCGCAGAGCGCTGAGCGCTCACCGAACAGGAAGCATTATGTTTGGAGAAAGAAACATTTCTAAAATAACCAAAATAAGCAGATACTACGCACACGTGGAGTTCTGGAATGAAACAGAAGATTTCAAACAGCTCGGCCCCTTATCCAGAACTCTTAGGGGCTGGGAACGTGCAGATTTTCAAACTTCCTTAGACAACAGGGAAAACTAAACACCGACATGTAATCCGGAGGGGATGCCAGTGTCTTCCATATGGGGCTCCGTAATGCTGAGTAACTCCGTAAACTCCAGTATTTCTGGAAATGCCCGTCATTCAGCCACCTCAAGTCCACACGAGACTCAGATTTTAAGTCGTCAACAACAAGAGGCTGGTAATGAAAAACCATGTTATTCAGGGTTTTCTAGGCCAGGCTTTGTTCCAAGCACTTGCCTTGTGCCCGACCAGGGGACGGTCTGCAGTCACCCTCCCCTTCTCGGGAAGGAAGCTAAGGGAGAGTCAGGGAGGTTCCCTGGCCTGACCCAGGAGGACAAGGCTGGTGACCGTGTCTGGGAGGCAGGAGCAGGGCAGGAGGTACCACAGGGGAGACAGGCACACTGGGAGTAGAACGTATCGAAGCCGACTGCACACATTCAGGCGCTCCGCTACCACCTTGCGGAAACAGGTACCTCCTTGTCGCCATCCAAGGCCCACCCGCCACCCCAGCCCCAGCCCAGAACGGGAGGAAAAAAATGGCCAGGAGGTGGAGGGGAGCAAAGACAGGATGCTGGCCCCCAGGGTTCTTGAACACTTCCCAGTGCACGCGACGAGGTCCGCGTGCGGACGTCCGCTTGTGTGTTCAAACGGCGAACGCCAATGCTCGGTGCTAAGGACCAGGCAGAGGCGCGGACGGCACTTACCAATCTGCAAGAGGATCGGCGTGACCAACGCCGTCTCCATGGCGTAACAGAACTCCCTGCCAAACATCACGGCCCCGTGCATCACCCACAGGCGCACGGGGATCCGGTCTATGGACCCCTCGCTGATGGTCTCGTCGTGGGTATCGGCGCTTCCCGGCTTCTGCAGATCCGGCAGGGGCACAGGCAACTCCTGGACTTGCATAGATTCCGAGTCGGCGTTCTGTGGGGCCATTCTCATTACCAACAAAAACATATATATGTGCGTGTGTGTGTATATATATATATTTTCCTCTACCTACATAAATAATACTACCAGGTATCTTTAAGGGTAAACTAGGACGCCTTCTCTCTCTGCTTCAGTTGTGTCCCTCCGGCAAGTAATGCTTACATCCCTCTTTGTACAAACAGAGATCTCGCAGCTTCTCACGAGCGGGTGGGACACGCAGCAAAACAAAATGATTTTTGGTTGGATCTTAAACATATGGCCTGCTCGTTTACTGTGAATGAGAGTTAAAAATCCATAATTGCCATTCAGTTAATACCAGTTTCATCATTATTATCGAAGAGGTGCTGAAGTTATTTTTCTTGCTACAGAGAGGTGGGAAGGTGACAGAAAAAGGAGGTCCGCCGTTGCTCCCCATCGAGTGACCGGCTGATCTGCAAAAGAGGAAAACAACCCCGGCAGAGAGTCAGTCAGGGGCGGCCGCCGCGCGGCCCCCCACCCCTGGCCGTCTAGGCGCTCCACGGACTGGCCCTCAGCCACCTGGGAGAACCCAACCTCAGACCACCACAGCTTCTCTGGTGCTGACTCTGGGTCAGCTGCTGAAAAAAACAAATCCTAATTCCAAGAGAAACATCCTGCGTGGACCTAATCCCGGGGCAGGGTAAAGACAGGACAACGAGGGGCAGACAGCAGAAGAGAGCTCAGCTTCCGCTCTTGAGACAGCAAGAACCAGCAAGAACTGTCAGCCTCCGCGGAGTGGGGATGGAGAGGCTGGGGAGGCAGGGAGGCTGCATTAAGGAGCGAAGATGCCACCCAGGAGTGGAAAGCAGGGAGGTGGGTGGAGCAGGGATGGGGTGACTTGCCACCCGAAGGGAGGTAATGTGCCAAGTGCACTGAAAGGCAGCCGAGTGCATGCTATGGGCTGTCTACTGCAGTGGTCTTTCACCTTGGCAGCTTACAGCCCCTCTCCAGGAGAAAAGTACCTGCATCGCAAACTCTGAATATCCTGTCTAGGGGCTCAAAGACTCCCGGCCCACACATGGCATTGCTAGTGGTGTGCAACTCCTGACCCCAGTCCTACATTCCCACTGTCCTGGTCCCTCGACCCGGCTTTGTGATGCACTCTCTCCCCAGAGGAACACACCACAATAAAGCGTCCACTGCCTTGCATCTATCTAGAACTTTCCCCTTAGACAGGTTTTAGGAAAATGCAAGGTAAGACTAAGGATGCGGCCCCACCCATGCGCTCTGCAGGACATAGGCCTCCAGGCCCTGGGGTTCTCCTCACTCTGATCTTCGTAAGAAGAGGGGGCCCTGAAATCACAATGGTGTTCCTGCCTTATTTTAAGGTAGGTCTGCGAGTTGAAATCTTACCAGAGATTTTCAACAACTGGTTTAATTAAAAATATCTCTAGTTCATATTCACTTAACCAAAGATGGTCTTAATTAGCTCCTTCTCCCTTTCCCCCCAGAACCAATGACCAACCAATGACCAACCAAGGGCGGCCTTCACACTGAGACCCCCTTGGGAAGCCCTGGGGGCAACGGTGGGGCTCCAGCCTCGGGCAAGGCCGGGCTGCTGTCCCCTGAGGTCAAGTCCTTCCCTCATCATGTCACCACTTCAGGGCTCCCTCCCAGCCCCTTCCTGCTGCAACGGGCGCATCCTTGGGGCCCGCAAGCCCGTGTCCTTGTCTGCATGTGTGTGTCTCACGCCCCCCAGTGCCACTACACTTCACAAGGATGATCCCCGTCAAGACTGCTCTCAAATTTTCCAAGTGTCCCCTACCATATAACAGCTCAATTAAAACCAGGGCTTTGCAGGCGCCTGGGTGGCTCAGTCGGTTGAGCATCTGACTCTTGGGGTCAGCTCAGGTCATGATCTCAGGGTCATGAGATCGAGCCTGCTTGAGGTTCCCCCTCTCCTTCTGCACCACCCCCCCGCCCCACGCGCATGCTCTCTCTCTCTCTCTCAAAACAAACAAAACAAAAACAAAACAAAGAACAACCAGGGTTAGATAACCTCAATCGTTTCAGAAAATGTAGTTTATAAAACTATTTCTAAAATACAAAGTAAACAAAACAGTGCTAAAAAACCCCAAATCGCCCAGCATTAACAATGACCAACACCTGCTGTTCCCAATCCCTCCCTACCTTGGGAGTGATCCCTGACCTAAGAAAGTGGAAGAGAAGAAATCTGTTTGTCAACCTGTCAATCTTATACCAAAATAGCATCCGTGATTTTAAATGCCTTTTTCCACCAAATAAGATGGATCATTTTTATATTAAGGACATGTATCCAGACAGGTTTTCAAAGCCCACACTGATGATGACCTGGGTTCTGGGGGCAGGAATGACAGTCACTGTTTTCTAAGAATCCTAGTGACTTACTTAAGAACACAAAAGCATCCAGCTGGGTGCCGGTGCCCCTACGCACGGCTGCCGCCATCCTGACACCCACGCTGAATGAGGGCGGCCTCTCCCAAGGCCATGGCAGCACCAGCAAGAAATCCGACCGAGCTCCGCACTAGGTATCTGCGAGCTCTTCTAAGGCACTGGTTCTCCACCAGGAATGCTGCACCTCTGAGGACACCAGTCAATGTCTGGACACGTTTCTGGTTGTCACAAGGTGGGTCGGGGGCCAGGATGCTGCTCAACACGGCCCCACGCTAGAGAATGATCTGGCCCCAAATGTCAACTAGGCCAAAATTGAAAAACTCTGTTCGAAGGTTATTATTAAATGGGAAAAAGACTTCTACTGAAATGCTGAAACATTACATTTTACACTACTACGTTCTGAATCCATCAACTGGGCCAGATGTGGCAAACTCAACGTCACTGCCTCTTCATGGAACCAAATCAGTTGTTGCTCAAAGTGGACAGGAAAACGCCAGTGGGCTCAAGGCACCCTGTCCCACAGCAGGAGGAGGGAGCCTCCGGGATGCGGTTTGTGGCAGGGAAAAGGGTACCAGCTATTCCCTCTCGGGAGTGTAAGAATCCCTGGGGAATTCTCCAAAAGCCCCAGCTTGCCACCGCAGCCTCCCGCGACGTGTTCGGATGGCGTCTCTGAAGACCCCTCTCCAGCTCAGCTCCCCCCGGAAGATGGGCCGCGGCCCCACCCCTCGTGCCGGGGGCTCTGGCCTGTACCTGGGTAACTCGACCCTGGCCAGGGCAGGGAGCAGCTCACATGGCAGAGGCCGCCACCCACGCTTCAACTGTCCCCTCACCTCCCATGATGCCTGGCCACACAGCAGGAGCCGGGGGAGGTCATAGAAAGAGCGGACGAACACATGAATGAATGAATGATAGCCAGCTAACCTGCTGAGCAGAATGCACTAGGGCCTGTGTGCAGTGGAAACCAATCCCGCCCGTACCAGCTCTCTCCAAGAGCACCACACCCATGTGACCTGGGCAGCCAGCGACCAGGGTCAGGCTGCAGGGAAGCCCGCGTGAAATGGCATGAGCGTGGCGTGGGGTTTACCTGTCATTCAAGGAGGCTAGGCATTAACACAGCTGGCTTCCCTTCCTCAAGCCGAGCAAACGCAGTGGCACAGTGAATAGATTTTACACAGGCAACTTCACTGTCATCTATATTGATGAAAATGACAAATATCGTTAGCATCTTCAGTGAGTTTGATTGTAAGCAGCAGTTAGTAAATACAAAAGTCCGTCCAGGTCTCACAGCTCTCCAGACTCCTGCACATTAGCTCTCAAGCCAAGGCAGTTAACGCCCACACAAGTTAGCACAAATTCCCAGAGCGCAAGCCACTTTCCAACAGGTACCTTTAAATGAGGCTGAACCGACTAACAAAATCTACTCGTGTTAGTGGACACTGGGGTTCCTTAAAGATCTGACCAACCTGGTTTAGAGCCAGGCACCTTGAAGACAATACCCAAGTGCTCATCAGCAGGTATCACTTGGCGGAGCCAGTTTCCAAATGCTCTGTCTGCAAGCCCTGGGGATTTTATAAGCTTTTTAGGGGATGACAGAGGATACTTTAAAAATAAAATTTAGGCATCATGCGCTTAGAAACACGAACACTGGGTACCAAAGATCTAAACTGAACAGCGACCACGGCAACCAAGCCTGTGAGGGGAGAGCCAGTTAAAGGCAGAAGAGCCTGTGCAAGCATTTCTGTTCAAGAGCCACAATCGAGGGACGTCTGTGTGGCTCAGTCACTTAAGTCCGACTGTTGGCGACGGCTCAGGTCATGATCTCAGGGTCGTTGAGATAGAGCCCAGCATGAGGCTCCATGCCCCGCACGAAGGCACGAAGTCTGATTGGGATTCTCTCTTCCTCTCCCTCGGTCCCTCCCACTCATGCTCGCGCTCTCTCTCTCAAATCAATCAATCTTAAAAAAAAAAAAAAAAAAAAAAAAGAGCCACACAACTGTGGGGTCCATAGTATGTGAGAGGTGTACCAGCCACTTCTGATACGTTCCACAGACTCTGGGTCAGGTTATGCACACAGGCTGCAGGATGTTCAACTCAGCCATTAGTTCCCAGGGAAAATCTTGTGGGGCACATCTTACACCTCGGATCCATATTCTTGTGTGTGGTGTGAGGTAAGGATGCACCGTTCTCTTTTCACTGTGGCCATCAGATCACTAAGTCCGCTCCCAACACTTTGAGACTCCTCTTTGTCATCCACCAAATCTCCATCAGTACTGTTTCCCCGAGTCTGTTTCCCAGTTGCCTATTCCATCCAACCAGCATGCCTGCCTGCCCATGCCCAGTAACCCACTTCCGAAAGAACAGAGGGTTCCAGAGGTTCCAGACTCTGCTGAGACCGTACTCTGTCACTGCTTCTTTCCCCAGCGCTTCCCTATTTCTTCTTGCACGTTTACAAGCATATGAGCTTTAAGAGCTTGACTAGCTCAGGAAAGAAGGTATTTTTTGTTGGTAATTCTTACTGTGATTCCATTAATTTTATACATCAGCTGAGGGAAAACTGCTGTGTACCCCCGTCCGAGGAGGGCTTTCTCTATTTGTCCGAGACCACCTCAGTGCCTCTCGTGAGGATTTCAAAATACTCCTTCTACAGGACACTCCTTTGCACATTTCTAGTTAGGTTCCTCCCTAACGATTTTACCTTTGGTGTGTGTGTGTGGCCACTGTAAAGGGGATTTTCTCTTCCCTTATATTCCCACTGTTTAGTTAGCCTACAGGAAGGCTAGTAGTAAATGTTGGTTCATTTGCTCAGGTAGGACTTACACACAGTGAAAACATACCATGTTCAATCAGTTCTGACAAACTTATATCGACACAGAACATTTCCAATACTCTGGCAAGTCCCCAAGTGTCCCTTCCCCTGTAATTAAGGTTAATGATTTTACATTTTAATTTGGTAATTTACTTCTTTAAGCGTCTGCGAATGGACAAAAGGGCTACCACCAAGTTAACAACAAATCTACCAACCATTACCAAACTATGTATAGTCCCCAACTTGGCATAACTGGGTTATGTTCCAAAGCTCACATATGCATTCCTTGGAACCTGATCATCAGCTCCTCAGAGACAGAACTCAGGGTCCCTCCTCGTCTGAACTGAACTAAATCACAGCACTGGTTCAGGAGGGAGGGACCAGGACCCACGTGGCATTTGGCTGCCCCTGTCCTGGGCACAAAGACTTCGTAATAGTCTCCCCTCACTTGTTCTATCTCTAGGGCCCTTTCCCTCGGGACTCCACAAGAAAAGGCAAGAAGCTTTGAGAGGAAAAGGCAAGAGCACACGGGGCGGGTCCCCACGGCTGGTTCCACCATTAACCCTGGGTGAAGGGTGTGTCATCGCACTGAGGGGAGCAACTGGACCCCATAAAACCAGGTTTACATCGCCCACAAATCTTCTTATCGCATGCAAATTGTTTTCTTTAAGGAAGCTATTTTATATAAATGGTAGACCATTAACCAAAGTTAACTAAAACCATTAAAATAAAACATTTTATGAACATTCTTCTGAAGGACCTAGCTTAAAAAAGCCCAAGCTAAAACCTGACATATACACTGAAGCAGCTTAAAGAGAAGACTGGTTTGCTCCTTCCCCAAAGCATGGGCAAGTGCGTGTTCCCTAGAGCCTCCTCCGGAGTTGTTGAAAAGCTTGAAGTTTAAGCTGTGACCTATCCCAGTATCTTCTATCCAGAAGACCCAGAAACACGTTTCGGGCAGGTTTTCCCTAGCAGAGAAAACACGCTTCCCTCTGGGGCCCGCTCCAGGGACTGTCGCCACGTTCAGGGACAGCGACGTGGGTATGATTTGCAGATGCACTTAGACCAGTGAAACTACCATTGTTCCAATCAACAACTTCCTCTATTGTCCTGTTTCTAATTTAAGGGTAACCGATGCCAGAACATGTGACTTCCTACAATTTGCTCTGTGGAAAGCCGGCTGTTAACTGAACACCATCAAAAAGTTAACTGCAGAGCAATTTCTGACAGGCACCATGAGCCTCGACCCATCTCCTGGAAAATGGTCAGAGAGGAGTTAATGCATGCTTGCGATGCGACTCAAACTCATCCTGCGCCCCCCCTTCCCCCGGCCACAGGCACACATACATGCTCGCGCTGACAGCGCTCTGGGCACGGGACACGCGGCAAATGCATTACGGTGCCTGCTTTATGGCAACAGCTGTTTGCTTTGTTCACCCGCCATTTAAAACCAGGCATCCATTCCCCCCGAGAAAATCAACTACAACTACCAACATTTTTCTAAAATGTCATCAACTATTAGTCTCCGATGACCCCGCCGAAGAGTGACTAGTACAGTGCTCCCCATCAGCCTGCCTCCCTCTCTCACCAAACAACTGTGGCAAAGAATACGAATCCACACACAACACAAAGGACAGGGAAACCAAACGAAGGGCAGCAGATAATAAGGAAGATCAGCTTTTAGACCAAGAGTATAAAAAGACGTAAAATCGAATCAGGCAAGTTCAAAGTATCCTTGGTAAGAAAGAAGCATTCCGGCAAATCTGTTTATAAGGTTATTTCCTGAAAAGCATTTAAGAAATCCCACTGACTTCCAACATAAAATCAACGTTGTAGCAAGCGACAGACAAGCCACAGATTGAGAGAAAATATTTGCGAAAGACACATCTGCTAAAGGACTCTTCTCCAGAATACACAAGACACTCAACAATAAGAAAATGAACAACTTGATTTAAGAAAGGGCAAGACACCCAGAGACGGCTCACTACAGATTCACCAGACGGCAAGCAATCACGTGGAGAGATGCTCCACGCCACACGGCGTCAGACACCTGTAAAATAAAGTGAAATCCCACAACACACCTATGAGAATGGCCACAGTCCACACACAGACAACACCAGGTGCTGACGAGGACACAGAGCAACAGCTCACTCACGGCTCACGAGAACAGCCACGTGGGAAGACTGGCGGATTCTCACAAACTAAACATGCTCTTCCCATGGGGTCCAGCAACTATGCTCCTTGGTATTTACCCAAAGGAGCTGAAAATGTATCTCCACACGAGAATCTGCATGTGGATGTTTACAGTTTTATTACTGATTGCCCAAACCTGGAAGCAACCGTGGTGCCCTTCAGTAGGTGAATGTTTAAATAATCTGTGATCCACCCAGACGATGGAATGTTATTTGGTGCTAAAACGAAATGAGCTCTCCAGCCATGAAAAGACATGGAAGGACCTTAAATGCATATTCCTAAATCAAAGAAGCCAATCCCAAAAGGCTACTCCCTGTAGGATTCCTACTACATGACATTCTGGAATAGGCAACGCCACAGAAACAGTAAAAAGACCTGTGGTTGCCAGGGATGGAGTGGGGAGGCATGGGGGAGAGTGGGGACAGATGAATGGGTGGAGAGCAGAGGAATTCCAGGGCAGTGAACCTACTCTGCAGGATACCATAATGGCAGATACCCGTCATTACACATCTGTCCAACCCCACAGACGGAACAGCAGCAGGAGTGAATCCTAGAGTAAACGATGGACTTTGGGCGATGATGTGTGTCAGTGCGGGTTGATCAGTTGTGTTTTTTTATTTAAGATTTTATCTATTTATTTGAGAGAGAGAGAGAGAGGACACGCAGAGGGAGAAGCAGGGTCCACACTGAGCAGGGAGCCCGATGCAGGACTTGATCCCCGGCCCCCGGGATCATGACCTGAGCCAAAGGCAGACGCTTAACGGCTGAGCCAGCAGGTGCACCAGGTTCATCAGTTGTAGCCCACGTACCACTCCGCTGGGGGACGCTGATAATGGCGAGGCTGTGTGTGCATGAAGACGAGGGTATACAGAACGCTCAATTTTGCTGTGAACCTAAACTATTCTAAAAAAATGGTTTACTAATTTCTTATTTTATTTTTTAGAGATTTTATTTGACAGAGACACAGTGAGAGAGGGAACTCAGGTGCCAACAGTTTACCAATTTTTTGAAAGGTGTCCTTTATATTAAAAAAAAAAACACAATCAAAAACATCTGACAAGAAAGGACTCAAGAGGTGGTCAGACCTAATGTTCCATACCCGGAATACCTTCTCACATCTGAAATTACCTTCCTGTAGGTATTATGAGTATCACCTGCAGAAACCCATGCTGGTCTCCTGATTCAATGTGCC